AAGAAAAATATAGATATTTATTTACATTAAATTAGTAAACAAAAATTAGAAAAATATTCGTTGAAATCAACTTTTTTTTTTTCCAATTCTTAAACAAGTTTAATAATTATAAATTTTTAAAGCTTTTTTATGTTTTGAATTTGATCATTTTTTATTCTAAATTTATTTATTTTCTCATTTATTTATTTTAGTGACAAATAATATGCCATAAAAATATTTTATAAACTCAATTATTTATAACAAATCGGATCGCATTGTTATCAGATCGGATTAACCTATATCCATATTTGATCCATTTAGTTAATGGATTGAGACCCTAAATCCATCTCCCATTAATTTCGTCGATTCGGATCGGATTCGAATCAAAATTCGATCCATTGACAGCCCTAGATATGCTTGGAGGATATCCAAGTTGTCAAAATTGTTACGCGGTGCATTGTACTGGAAAATGCTTGTTCTCTAGTTTACACATGTCGAAACTTCTGAGATTTCGAAAATATTTGATGTGTAGAAAACAAGTAAATGAAAAAACTGATGAAGAGTACATGCTCGTGGGAGATTTTGTACCTGACGATTGGGATGATGACATCAAACATGTGNTTTCGAAAATATTTGATGTGTAGAAAACGAGCAATTGAAAAATCTGATGAATAGAACATGCTCGTGGGAGATTGTGTGCATGACGATTGGGATGATGATATCAAACTTGTAGGAGATGGTCCTTCTTTATTGAACAAGAAGGTACTTGCACGGTACTTTAAAGAGCTTGCCAAGTTGGATGAAAATGATATGCTCATGGGAGATTTCATCTAATGGGAATGATTTCAACAATGGGGGTACAATCCATTCGAATGAGTCAATGAGACCGACTTCTTATTATCCGTGGATCTAGATTGTGGATCGATCATTCAACCCAAAGATATATCGACTATGGGAGAAGTTATTAAAGAGAATGACGTGTTGATCACAACGGAATCAAATTAGGATGTGGCAATCAATGAGAATGAAATCAACTCACATTTTTCCGACTTTATCGATTGTCCAAAAATTGATTTTGTGATTAAGTTATATGTAAGAATGGAAGTCTACATGGTTGAAATTGAATCGGATGAAATAGAAAAGCCCTATTACATTGAAAATGGCAAGGTAGAAGTTTGGAGATTAAATGAAAAGTGGATCAAAACTAAACAAAGGAAAACGGACAAGGCATCCAAAACCTTCTTTAGGTGCCCATGATTCAATTGTCAAAGTCGAGCTAAAGACTATAAAAAAAGTGTTTCTTGGGAGGCAACCCAAACTATTTTTTTCCTTTTTATTTATTCTATTTTTTAGTTTTATGATAGTTTAATGTATTTTAAGTTTATTTGTGACTCATCATCTATACCTCGTTTCCCTTATGTTTTCGATATATTATTTAATTTATTAGATGTTAGATTTAAGTAACACTTGTTCCAATTATTTGATCTTAATGCTTTATTTGATATTTCAGGAACATGATGTCGCAGAACATTTAAACTAATATTGACCAAGGAGCCAACGGAAGCAATAAGAAAATTAGTCATTGAATTACAAGTCATATCAGGGAGTCTTTTCTTCACATTCTTCCCCACCCCTTTATAAGCGGATTTAGAATTAAAAATATTGAGGAAAATGTCTAGTTTAAATTTGGGGAAGGAAAACATGAGTTTTCATTTTTTTTAATTTGTTTTTGTGTGCTTATATTGCCTCAGTAAAAAAAGAGTAAAGAAAATAAAATATAATAAAAATATTTTCTTTTTGTGTGCTTGTGTAAGTTAATTGATTTGGCTGATAATGATGAATATATTGAAT